AACTTTACCTCTAAAAAAAAAAAAAAAAAAAAAAATCAACGAGATGGGCCCCCCCCCCCCCCCCCCTCAAAAATCGATTTCAGCTCAGGAACATTCAAATGAGATGAAACTTTCAGGATATGTTGGTGCTAGAAAGGGAAGACTACTATAAAATTTTCAGCCCAAAATCTTTAGGTTTCAGGGAGATATGAGTCAAACAAGGGTCAAAAATGACTCATTTTTCATCCGAAATTTCTCGGTCCTGGTCCGTTCAATATATTAATATTTTTTTTTGTTGGAAAGAGCGTCTCAAGACGCAGGGCATGACATTGCCCTTTTTTTGAAATAGTCCATTTTTAAGCNTAAACTTTTTGAGCAAGCAGTCATTTCATATTGAGATTTCTTAAGACGCGTAGAAGAAAAAAAGACTCGATTACATTTCTAATCAACTTCATTTTATAAGCAAGACTTAATTCATTCAAAATTATTTTTGAAAAGGCAATTGCATGAAATAATTAGATTAAAATTGAATAAAAACATTGCCATTTTAATCGATTTTTTAATCAGAAAAACTAAACTAGAATGTGGCTTTTTTTCTTTTTTTTGGCACAGGGCAAAAATTTTTGCCCTGCCCTGTGACGGTCTCTGAACGGCACCTATACTACGTGAGTTTTTGCTTGAAATGATTATTTAATTTTCTGTTTAGATCAGCTCACTGAACTATACTTAGGCTAGTTTTTATTTCTAAATATTATTTAATACTGTATTCAGATCAGGTGAAACAAGCAACATTTAGGTAAATAATATATTAAATATGACTCTTACTCTATACTTAGATACACTAATCAAAGCAATAGCAAGGCAAACTTTGTTTTAAATTCTTATTCATTTTTGTATTTTAGATTAATCAAAACGACGAATGGTTGGGTAAGTTATATTTCTAATAAGATTCTTGTTTTATACATAGGCCAGATAGACATACCAATGATGAGGTAAACTTTTTATTTCTAATTGTCTTTCAATCTTCTATTTAGATTAATCGAAACAAACAACGCTTAAAGAAGTCATATTTTATTTACGATTTTTATTTTATATTGAGATATGCTAACCAGTTTAATGCTAAGATAAGCTTTTATTTCTAGTTATCATTTATTTTTGTATCTAGATCAGTCGAAAGGAGTCACGACAAAGTAAGTTACATTTCTAAGAAAATTCTTGTGTTATATTTAGATCAGCTAAGCGAAGCAACACTGAAGTAAGTTTTCATTTCTGATTGTATCTGGCTCTATCTTGAAATATATCAAAACAATCAATGTCAAGGTAATTTCTATTTAAAACAAAGCTCTATATTTAGATCAACTAACCAGTTGAATACTTATAGGTACATATTGATTTCAAATTGTTATTTAGTTTTGTATTTAGATCATTCGAAACGACGAATGATTAGGTAGTATACATTCTAAACATATAATGTAATTTTACATTTAGATCAACTAAACAATCCAATAATTTGATAAGTTTTTATTTCAAAGTGTTATTTAATTTTCTATTTAGATCAAGTGAAACCAGAAATGGTTAGGCAAGTTGTATTTCAAATAGGATTCTTATTTTATATTTATATCAACTAATCAAAGAAATATTTATGTACGTTTTTATGTTAAACTGTAATTCAATTTCGTATTTAGATCAATCGAAATAAGCAATGGCAAGGTATGTTATATTTCAAATATGATTTTATTTTGTATTTAGATTAGCTCAAGGAATCGATGGTGTGGGACGATTTCATTTCAAATTGACGTAAAAAGTGTTATTCGAATCTGCAGAAGACGTAAACGAAAACGTAAGTATCTGTTAAACTATGACTCTGAATTCATATTCAGATGCGTGGAATCGTGTACTTGTCTACGATAATTTCAAAAGGATATGAGAATTTAGTTAGTCTTGTAATGCTTAAATGATTATGAAACAAAGCCGAATGAAATGTTAAACGAAAATAAAAAGATACTCGTACACCAAAGCTAAATGAACAAGTTTACGAATGGTTTGTGCAGCAGTGTACAAAAAAAATCAGTTCAAAGGTATAAAGACAAATAACATTAGAGGATCTTTTTTAAATAATAAAATTTTGTGTTGCTATTGAAAAATCGTTCAATTCAAATAAGTGAGATAAAAATAGATGAACAAGAGTATAAATATCCATGTCTTTAACTATAACTGATGTAGAAATAGATATTCTCGAGACCTTTCTTCATTTCACAGTAGGAATCGTGCATCATCATCTCTCTATGATGAACAACTCCGTATAGTAAACGCTTTTAAACCATTCCAATATTGTTCACAATAGAGAGACTTTCCTACATATAGTCGAAAATGCTTTAGACAATGAAGAAGTTGCGTTTATGAATAATTTATCTTACCAATAACTTTTTAATTTTCTCAAATCCATACATCTATGGTATCGTGACGTCTATATCAATTGAAACAAAAACGAAGAGCACATATACTCTTATACAGATTAAGGAACATCTTGAACACCATGTGATAGATTTTAATGAGCATCTTTCTCTCATCTTAATGTCAACGGTCTTTACATGTTTGTCCCATGTGTTGAATGCCACATATTATTTATTCTTAATAATAATGAAAAAACAGAATCATGAGTAAACACTTTGAGAGTATGCGTGTTATGCATGTAGGAGAAGAAATAAATTATATAAAGCAGATAAGAACATAGGACAGATGTAAAGATGTGCGGAAGCAGCTTTAGTTTTGGCCACTGGCACAAGAACCAGAGCTACGAAGAAAAAAAGTTGTCGGAACAGGGATAAAAAAAGAAGTTATCCTAGCAAAACTAAAGATTGTAGTTAAACGTTGTATAGTTTTCAATAGAATTCAAAACAAAATTTATGAGAGCAGACCGATAAAAATAGTATTCATCAACAACAGGATATTTTGAAATTGTTTTAAATTTGATATGAAAAATTTCTCAAATAGTTTTCTCTAAGTTAAGACCAAGATTGGAAGCTTATGATTCTCATTACTTTGTTGATAATGAAATGTCTCAAAGAAAACTAACACAAATATCGAAAGGTATAAATATTACAAATGAAAGTAAAAATCTTTCACTCTTACATTCTCACCTTCATACGTCGTTTTTGCTTTCAATTGTAGTTAGAATTACTGGACCAGTATCCAAAAACATAAAAATCAACCGAATCGAACCGGTAGTCACGAAAAAGAAATTATTAGGATCAGAACTAAAAGATACTTGGCTCCACACACCTTCAGACAGAACATCAGAACTATCGAACCGTCTTCTTCTGTGATCAACTCTGAAACATGTCAAAGTCATTCATGTAATTAAATTTGATACTTCAGGGGGTATACACTTCTATTTAATCAAGTTATTATTCGGATTTTTGAATATGTCACAACGGTTAAAAGAAAACATCATTTTATCGACCGAACGAATAATGACAGCTACTAAAACATATTCACTTTCTAATCATAATAACATAAATTCAATAGAAGAAATGATAGAAAAAACTTATGTAAACTTCGCCAAAACTATGTATGCTAAAATTTATATGATTAATTTTGAAACTGTCAAAATATATTGGTAACTCGTTGCTGAATGGAATGTATTATCTAATAAAGAACTTTATCAAGATTCAAAAAGCTTTATTTTCTTTCAAGAATATTTAATTCAAGAACGAAGTTTTTTATATTATTTCGTCATCTAAATATGACGAGGTATGTTTTTTCAAAATGATCGATTAATATTAAGAAAAAAAGCATTAATATTCTATATAATTATAACTTTCAGAAGGATTAGCTTATTTTATTTATATTTCTGTCAAATAATTTGCATTGTAATAAATTCGTCATACACATCCTTATCAGTTATTTAAGATACCATTGATTCATATATAATTCTGACAATTTCTAGTAAACATAAATTCAAATCTAAAATATTGTTTGAAAAGTTTATCATTCTTCTGTAATGAGAAATAATTATTTTTCAAATTTAATGTCTTACATAGTTCTTGTGATGAAAAGAATATATCTATTTTGCTAGACTATAAATATTAATGATTTTCTTTTTTTACCAACGAGAAAATGTAAAGAGAAATTCATTTTTTTAATATTTCATCAGCTATATTCTGTTTAATCTTTCGGTGATGAAAAAAGGAACTGACTCATTCAATTAGACTGCACCATGGTGACAAAAATAAATGGAGCGTGTCTCTTTTTATTTTTTACTTGGTAATTTCCAACAAGAAAATCCTCTCAACCTGGTATAAATACGAAACGATGCCCAATAATACTAGCTTAATATCAAATTAATTATTATTGTGAAAAGCATGGCTTTTTTTCATTTGAATACATATGATATCTCCCGCTCAAGTCAACAAGTTAAAGTGCCTGATAATGGTATAGCAAAACTAATGTATTATTTAGATTGCATGTGTACATTGATCGAATATGATGAATCCAATCTCAATCGTCTTCGTGATTATAAAAATTACGATGATCTAACTGATATAGAAATCCGTCTCTTATATGTCTCCTGTGTTACTCTTGATCCTGATGATTTCATTGATAAAATCATGTTTGAAGATCGAAGTGGTAACTTGTGTGGTTCATCACTTAATCGAATGTACGATTTAGGTGAAATACAACGAAGTCTTATGGTAGTAAATTCCATTGCTGTTGCTGGTCGAACTCGACGAGTAAAGAAAATTATGGCTTATCGACCACAATGGTTGTCTAGATTCTATACACAACCGATCGCTCAATTAACAGCTATTTTTCAACGTGAACGACAACAACAAGCGGTGCGTGAATTACTCAATACATGTACTATCTCTTGAACTATTATTTATTTATCGATAAACATGCAGATAGACATCACTTTCTATTATTTTCCTTTATTTTATTCAAGAATAAAATAATTCGAATAATGAGAATATTTTTCATAAGAAAGGTTTCGTTATAAGTGAAGAGTAATGAAAGATGAATATTGAATTGACAATCATACAATCAATAGTTATATGGACAATATTTTGAACCAAATTCTACACTATTAACTTTGTTATTCCTCAAATTATTGAATTTCAGTTAAGATGAATATTTCTGGTTGATTTTAAGTGAGCACAATTCATATAAACGAAGTGACTTGATTTGAAAGATGAGTTTCGAAACCAAAATGTGTCGTTTCCAGGGAAAAAAACGCTGGAAATAACGAGAATTGTGTTCTCCAATGATGTGAAGTCGAATCGGAGTCGATTCACGATGTGTAAGTATAAAAGGATTCGAATAATCAAGAACATGAATATTATTTATCATGGACCAAGAGAGAGAGACTTGTGATATAAAAAGAGAAGCAGGAAATACTATGAACACATATTTGAATAGGATTTTATAGGAAATTCTTACACCTATGAACAATTCAGTTACAAAGAAGAAAGAAAATGATTCATAAAGAGATTCAATAATAAACTTATTCTAAAAATATTATTATTTCTCTTGGTTCATTGATCCTTCAATTCAATCTTTCTTGATTGATTTTATTTTTCAATTAGAATAAGTTGTTTTATACGAAAGAATATAATCTGTATTTAACTGGCATAAAGAAAAGTATCAATGGCATTCATAATGATCGACTATTTGGTATACATGAATCGAATTCGAAATTCAATTATTATATCATGGAATGCATTAATTAGGTATTCACGATTATCATAGTCTGAGTGATATCGTTAAAAGGGTGTACGCTAATCTTCTATTTATCGATTCTCACACATACACCCAAATTAAGTGTTCTTGTGAATAAAGAGAGTATATATATGCTTTCAGCCCCTTTTACAGATTTCGTAAGTTTCTAGAAGACCAACACTGCGATGTATATTCGAGATAATTACTTTCGTAAATTCCATCGAAAGTTCCTTAGATAGATAGATTAACAAAACACTTTCGTGCATAATAGAATTCGAGGTATAGGATTACCGATCCGTTAACTTTTTTAATTGAACTCCAAACGACGATTCATGTTCTGGGCTGTTTCTGAATATGGCACACTGACTGTTTCCATTCTTTGTAAATCATAAGCTGTACTTTAAACTTATCAATACCAACTCTCAATGAAATAAATATTTTCGAAAATAATTGCGACTTAAAATCGGCACTTTTGTCATAATCCTAATTTGTTCTAGATAATCGTGCACGAGTATAATTGTCAATTCAGCTGAAATTGTTAATAATTTTCCACTAAGCGTTATTGATACACGTAACAGCCTCACTATCCTCCTATATTCATTATTTTTACAGCTCTATGCAGTATTTTTTACTAATATCCCAACTTTTCACAGCTGCTCAAGATTCACTTCTAATGAAGTTGGAAAGTTGGAAAAAAATCACAGTGATTTATCAGGTAGATACTGTTTACTCTTTCGGTGATGAAAAAAGGAACTGACTCATTCAATTAGACTACACCATGGTGACAAAAATAAATGGGGCGTGTCTCTTTTTATTTTTTACTTGGTAATTTCCAATAAAAAAATCTTCTCTACCTGGTATAAATACGAAACGATGCCCAGTAATACTAGCTCAATATCAAATCAATTATTATTGTGAAAAGCATGGCTTTTTTTCATTTGAATACATATGATATCTCCCACTCAAGTCAACAAGTTAAAGTGCCTGATAATGGTATAGCAAAACTAATGTATTATTTAGATTGCATGTGTACATTGATCGAATATGATGAATCCAATCTCAATCGTCTTCGTGATTATAAAAATTACGATGATCTAACTGATATAGAAATCCGTCTCTTATATGTCTCCTGTGTTACTCTTGATCCTGATGATTTCATTGATAAAATCATGTTTGAAGATCGAAGTGGTAACTTGTGTGGTTCATCACTTAATCGAATGTACGATTTAGGTGAAATACAACGAAGTCTTATGGTAGTAAATTCCATTGCTGTTGCTGGTCGAACTCGACGAGTAAAGAAAATTATGGCTTATCGACCACAATGGTTGTCTAGATTCTATACACAACCGATCGCTCAATTAACAGCTATTTTTCAACGTGAACGACAACAACAAGCGGTGCGTGAATTACTCAATACATGTACTATCTCTTGAACTATTATTTATTTATCGATAAACATGTAGATAGACATCACTTTCTATTATTTTCCTTTATTTTATTCAAGAATAAAATAATTCGAATAATGAGAATATTTTTCATAAGAAAGGTTTCGTTATAAGTGAAGAGTGATGAAAGATGAATATTGAATTGACAATCATACAATCAATAGTAATATGGACAATATTTTGAACCAAATTCTACACTATTAACTTTGTTATCCCTCAAATTATCGAATTTCAGTCAAGATGAATATTTCTGGTTGATTTTAAGTGAGCACAATTCATATAAACGAAATGACTTGATTTGAAAGATCAGTTTCGAAACTAAAATGTGCCATTTCAAAACAAAAAGAATGATGCTCGAAACGACAAGACTGGTGTTCTTCAATGACGTCGAGTTGAGATGAAGTCTATCGATCTTGTTTACTATGGACAAAGATAGACATGTGGGAGTTTGAAGAGAAACAATATGAAAGGTAAATAGCAAAGAGGTTCTGTATGACTGGCTTTTCCCCATGAATGCTACAATTACCGCCATCATCAACTAAAACTAACATCGGTATTGATTCAATCTTGTCAGAGATGTGTTTATTATTTATTGTCGGAATTCATTGTTAAAACTTCTGATGGAAATACTGTGCAGAACGATTTTGAAGCACTTATTAAAATTATTGATTCCCTTTTCTGAATGAAAGGGTGACATCGCCAAAAACAGCTTGAAAAAGTATGTTTGATCTAGCCAATTAGGATGCAATATGCTCTAGTCGAATGAAAAATATGCATTAGAAGACGTTGCGTGCGGTATACATAAGCATAGTCACATTTCTATAGTAAAACTTGATAAAAGGTAAATTACTATGGAGCATTGGAAGCGGAAGTCAATTTTAGCATTATTAATTCTCGTTTCTCGAACGAAGGGTTATATCGAAGAAAGTATCTTTTAATACAATTATCTGTCTGTCTGTCCAAGTCAATCAGTAAATAGGATGGGCTAGAGCATTAGAAACTACATTGATTGTTTATTAAAAGTCTTTACGAAGAGTAATCTACTATGGAAAATTCGTATTCAAGCTTAGTTTTTTTCTCTAATATTAATATTTGATAATTGATGTGAATATGAAAATTTGTTTTTCATCGACAGCCCATATCTAACTCACTATTGGACTGTTTCCTCCACTAATACCAAAAACTCGTTAAAATGGTGAAAGTTTCGAAGCGTTTAAACATCAAAAACGTGTTAAAAAATTATAAATCTTAAACTGTTTTAACACATTTTTGGTGACTAATCAAACTTTTTTAAGAGTTTACATATTGAGATGTTTAAACGCAGTTTTGACCGTTATCGTGTTTACCTGGAAACAACGCGGGTTTAGTTTTAACACGGTATTAGACATTGTTAACAATAAACAAAAACGGATGAATGAGTGAGTGTTTTGATAGTGCGATTGTTCTGTATAATAAAAAAGAAGTTATGCATGTAAAATATAGAAGAACTCACGACAAAACAAAAAAATAGAACAATAAGACCATCCTATCATGTGATCAGTAATGGTACGTGCTGAAGTCATTCATGTAGTCAAAATTTTTACTTTAGCGATTACATTTTTGTTTAACGAAGTTATTATTCAAATTTGTGGATATGTCATGAATGTTAAAATGAAATATTATTTTATCAATTGTAGAGATAATATCAACTAGAAAAACATGTTCACTTTTAATCGCAGCGACATAAGTCCATCACAAAAAGATTGTTGAAAAAGCTGATCTTTAATCAATTAATGATAAACATTAAAGCAATGCTTTTGATGTTTTTTTTAATACTTAGAAAATCTTTATTTTGTTTAACCATTAGTGAAATGTCTCATGCTAGAAATTAGACTATCTTCAGAACTAACATTAAAAAGTGTTATTTTAATTCCAATACCAAAATATGAAAATATTCTAGTGGAAAATAATATTTACTAGCGGAGGTACCCGATGGTAGTCATAATAATTTTCTAATATATACTTGACATATTAGAAAAAGACGTCGCTATGATCTCCTATAAATTATTGGAATTCGATATCGCGAAATATGTTCAGATCACTTTCCCTTTTCAACTGATGTTTTCCACATTTTTAATTTAAAAAAAAATTTCTATCCTTTTCAGTGTTCTTTTTGTTTG